CTAAGGACTAGAAAGGCATTGATAAGAGTGAAGAAGGCTTACCTCTTGCATCCATATATACTATCTAACTAAAAGCTACATGGCGACATTTTAAAAGACCATCTTATAATTAATCTACATGGCAACATTCTAAAAGACCATCTTATAATTATTTAAGAATTAGATTAGATTTAATATATATCATGTCTAATCTTATAATTATTTTAAATATAATCCAAATATTCTATAAACATTAATTTTATTCTATCTATTATATTTTTTCTATTCTTTTTGTGCTTCTAATAGAATATAAATATAATTTCATAAATTTGTGATTTTACTTTTTTTATAAAAAAATTGAAAAAAAATTATAAATTTGTAATTTATTCTAGAATGATTAAAATATCAACTTAACATAAAAGAGTAATTAAGATATTTAGTTGAAATATACTACATACAAATAATAATCTATTAAAATTCTATGTTAAATAAATATAATATATTTATAAAAAAAATTATAATACTTTTTATCAAAGTAGATAATAAATATGTTTTATTATTCTAGGTTATATTTCATATCAATTTTTCTTTATTAGAATTATGTAATCTATCTAGATATTATAATATCGAATTACATTTGAACAAAATGAATTAAGTATATTCAAATGATATTTATGTTTATCTTAAAATATCTCGAAATTTTATATATATATATATATATATATATATATATTACTTTTGATATTATCTTTTTTTTTAAAATAATATTTTCTTTTAATAAGAACTTGGCATGTTTTGATATATGAGTCTCTAATGAATAGCTGAGAAAGTCAAAAATAAGATTTAAAAAGAAATTATTTATTTTCTTAACATATAACTATAATTTGTAAAATAACATAAATTGATAGCAAATAAGTATAGAAGTTTAAATAGAATATTTATCAAGAAGCCAGGTTAGACCGCATTTGGTATAAAATAGGTTAATTTAATTTAACTTAATATAATAACTAATATTTGATTGTCTTAAATTTTATTACTTTTTTAATTATTCAAATAAAACTCATATTTTTGGATGATTTGATACTACTTCTAGAATAAATATAAAATAAAATATACTGTATATAATAAGGATTTTTTATTAGAGTAAATAAAACATTTAAGAAGACCTTATTTTAGTGATTTATATATATTTTATTAATTTTTTAAGTTATAAAATTTTTAAAACAATACCATTATTCTTTTGAAATTATTAATATATTATAATGAGTATGTTTTAGAAATTTTAGTACAAAACTTCTTATATTTAACTAAGTAATTAAGAAATAGAAGAGATAGAGTTAAATCGTTGAAATTAATTTAAAACAATATGTAAAAAATACTAGTGTAAGTAGAACAAGATTATGATTTGTTTTTAATTTAGAGGATATAGGAAGGTGAAACCATAGAAACAAATTAGTAAGAAAATAATAAATTTGTATAACAAAAGAAGTTCTAAACATTAAACACATTAACACATTAATTAATTAACACGTTAACATGTTAATTAACACATTAAATATTAATGTAAATTTAGATTGAAAGAAATAAAATCTAATGATTTAAATGCCAATTACAGTCTTATAAAAACCATGAGTAAGTATATTGAATAAAGTCTATGATCTTAGTTATGAGAAAAATAATTGTTGTGGTAGGATTCTATACTACAAGTATATATATATATATATATATTGCTAATAAAAATGAGTAAATAAGAAAATATTGTAATGCCAAATAATAAACATAGTTTAGAAATAAAAATTAAGAATAAATTAAAAAATAGTAATTAAAAAAAGTTACAAGAAAATAATAAAGATGAAATTTAAAAATAATTTACAAAGTTTAAAGTTGAAATTTATAGAAAATAAATAAAAACTCAATTTTTCATAGATAATATTAAAATTCAGAATTGGCAAAAAAATGATGTTTTTTTTGTAATAAAAAAAATTATATACAAAACAATTGACTATACATTGGTTTTACAGTAAAAACTAAATTATTAGATAGTAAATTTTAAAAACATATACAATTAAAGAAGGATGCAATAAATATTGTTGAAACAAGACACATTGAGTCATATAACTATATTAATTTAATTAGGGAAATAGAAAAAATTAGCTAGATACTCCATACTTGCAATTATAATCATTGGTTGCATAGGAAATAAATGACTATTAAGGTGGTTTGTAAGAAGTTGAAAATGAAAATGGAAGAAATTATGCTTTTAGCACAGCATCTAGCCAATTAAGACTGTTATTTCACTCTAAATGAATATAGATTAAATAAATATGATTATAGAATTTTTAATTTATTTCTTTTATTGTTTGACCGTAGCTAATAAAAAAAAAAAAAAGGCTAATTTAATCTTATCTAAAGAAGCCTTGCGTTGAAATATGCTCGATTTTTAATTTTAAATATTATATTTTTATTTTAGAAAATTTAGATAAGGAGTAAGGTACTACCTATAAACAAGATTTTTTATTTTTATTTTTATTTTTACTACCACCCACCTTATAATTCCAAAGACTTGAATGCTGAAGAAAGTTATGCTCTTTAATTCTAAGATAAGTCTAATTTGATACAGCATATATCAGCAATTAATTTTTACAAGTATTAAAATGTAAATAAAAGAATCTTACTTTGATTATCAACCAGTCTTGTAACAACAATCACAAAGTTCTACCTATCTTAAAAAAATGACTTAAAAAGAATTGAGATTACTAATGTTAAAAAAATACCATAGAATTAGGCATACTTCTTATTGTTCTATATAAGCATGCATAGACATACTTTAGATACAAATAATTCAACGTTTGTTTAAAAAATAATATTTAGCATAATGTAATCTATAAATTGTATAAGCAAATGACTGTGTTTTAATATAACTAATTTTTTCAAAAGTATAACTTTGATGATATAATACTCATTGTTGTAATAATATTGATTTAATGATCATTATAATTTTGTATTTTAGTATAATTTAAAATTAAATTAAAAGACTATAAATAATTTTACAAGGTCATTAGAAATGTAAAAGTTTTTTTTCGTACAGTTTTATGTTATTTTATTTATTGATTATTAAAAAATTAAGATACTAAAAATAATTATTTAAAATATTCAACAATAATTTATCTAAAAAATCTTATTTATAAAGAGTTATTAGATGTGGTAAAAGTTCTTGTCCTTGTACCAAAAAACATAGTATTTCTTGTGAATGACATTGATATCTAATTTTTCTTTTTCTTTTTCCTTACAAAAAATTTAAATTAAATATTAAGAACAAGATCTCTTTAAATACAATTTCTATAAATTTATAAAGTTGATGGCATGTAAGTAAGTCTTCAACAATAAAAAAAAATCACCAACATAAAATTTCAATTAAATTTTTATTGATTTTAACTTTTAAAAATATAGATAATATAATAATAGTAATTATTATTATTATTATATATAGAACTAAAATTTGTAAATACCATGTTTGATGTGTATTTTGATTAGAATAAGATGATATTCTATTATTTATATTCCAATTTATAAATATCAGTGTTGTGTTCAATATTAATTTACTTTTATACATATTTAGGGTCATCAACTGTACATTATTTTTATCAAAATGAAATTTGGGTAACCACATAATGTTTCTTACTTCATATTTTTATTTTTATTGTTTTTTTACCTTGACACCTACATACATGCATACACACATCTAGTATTACTTTTATTTCATTCATTAATTTGCAGATTGGCAGGTTTGCAGATTTGTTATATCAACTTAAATTTTTTAATTCTTTTCTTCTTATTTCCCCTCAACTAGAAATTTTAGTTTTAAAAGTTTGACCCCCATAGTCTGCTATGAAACTTTTTATTCTTTTATTCTTTTTATTTTTTAGTTCAGTTTATAATTAGCTGAGAACTGAGAAAATTTTCTTTGAAATTTTTAATTGTCACCACATATGAAAAGTAGTGTTTACATGTGTATTCCTATCATACACATGATACACATAGAGTCATAAAGTAAGCCAATAAACCATGAAAGAATTTCACTTATAACCATGTGAAATCAATATTTGTAAACAATTTTTATGCACTCCATACAATTACTTAAAGCATAAAATAAACTCCTTGCACATAGAAACACTATAATCTTTCTGGGTACATGCACATGAAAAGGAAAGGTTCAATGAAATAGATTTATCACTGTCCCATGACCATCAAGCAACACTATTTCCAAATTAAAACAAAAAAATGGAATCATACTATCTCACTTTACATTAAAAACCAAAATCAAAATCAAAAGAAAAAATAAAAATTGAACTGCAGTGAAGTGCAAACTGAAGCATATTTTACAACAGAAGCATAAATGCTCCCAGTATTATTCAACAAAAAGCATCTCTGACCAAAATGCAACCAGCTCTTAAAGACAAGTCCTGTCCTTGGACAACAACACACACACATGGAATTCCTCCTCAGAAGGAGCAACAACAACAAAATCTAGTGGCAAGCACTTTACAGTTTGGAAAACTGCATGCTGGAGCAGATGCTCAGCCAGCACCATGACTGCAAAATATATGCTTAGAAAAACACTCAAAAAAATAAAAATACAAACAAAAAATAAAATACTGGCTGAAACCCTAATTTCCCACATTCTACTATTCTAGGGTTTTGTGAAGCTCAAGAAGGATTATGCAATGATTGTGCAAGATATGACAGAATTTTATGGGTGAAGGGATGAATATGGGGGGGGGGTAAGAAGAGCTGGCACACAGGAGTACATAGTAAGGAATGAAACTGGATAGCCACAGCTTTGGTGTTGGCTGTGCACAGCAGCACAAAATGATAACAATGAGGCCCCCAGATGTTTCATGCTTGGAGTGAGTGGCCTTATTCACCTCCCCAAAAACAAACACACATACCCCCCCTCCACCCACCCACCCACCCCCCTCTCTTAAAGCTTCTATGTTGATGTGAAGTGGCAGTAGCCACATGGGGTATTAGATGCTGGAATCAGGAGGAGAGCGGTAGGTGTGAAAAGGGTTTGAGGCCAGAGGCCGTCGCTTCATCGTCGCCTTGTGTGCTGACCTGACCGTATGAGTGTCTGAATCCCCGCTGAGTTTTGCAGCGATGGCGCCAGTATGGGTGAGGACCGATGGAGACGCCACCGTTTCATTTTAGCACCCCCCCTGCGCTTCTCTGCGGTGCGCTCCGCGTGCCTCTGCTCTGCTCTGCAGTTGCAGTCCGTCCTCCCTGCTCTCTGAAGTGTGCACATGAGATTTTCGCTGCCTTCGCTGCACGTCCTGATTCACCTCTCTCGCGCGCTTTCTCTCCCTCTCCCTCTCGCTCGCGCTACTGCCCTTGAGCTTCTGCCATCTGAAATCTACGACGGGTTACTTCATGAGCGCTTAGCGTGCATAGACTTCACGAGTTTTGGTTAGCTACCGTGTTGGTTGAGTCTTTGTGAGGTCTGCCCTGCATTGTGTTGCTTAGCGCATATTTTCAGCTGTGTATATGGGATGTCTTCTTGGAAGTCACTGACGTTCCCGGATTGGATTCAGAAGCTGGAGTTATGAGTCTATAGACAGCTGAAGAATGAGCTGTGGAGGTTTTTCATGGGATTGTATCGGTAGTTATGAAATTCCTTGTTTCGCCTCTTGTTAGTCCCGTGCAGAAGACTATGAGAGGAGGGAATCGGGTTGCTAGCTTCTAGGAATTGTTGGAGAGAGACATGCAGAGTCTGGAGTTTGTGTTATTTGCTGATGATTCAATTCGAAGAGATTGTGGCTCGAATGCGTCGCACATTGTCAGCTGCTTCCAGCAGTGCTCAAACCCATGCATGTGGAGTCTATCTGGCGGGTCGGGTAGCTGTTAAGCTCACGAGAAACTTACACAACGAGCGTTGGTTGGTTCTCGACTGAAACCTACCAATGCTCGTCCATGCCCGTGCCCTTGAGGTAAACCCCGGATTCAAAGTGCAGTCTCATGAAATTTCATTGAGGAAGAAGGGGAATCACACTTCTGAATACAAGCGAGAGTATATCTGATGAATATGGCGGCAGACAAGGCGGAAGATCCACCAGAGCTACTGGAAACATTGGCCGAGAATCGAATCACGTTTGAGAAGCAGATTGGATGCTTGGCAGGTTTATTGCAGATTTTTCACTGTCAGTGCACTTTAAATGGTCACCGCAAAACCTCAAATCGCTTACGACCTGTTCACGGTAAGGCCATTGCTACATACAAAGGTTCACCTATGTATCTGTCTCAATGTTGCCGTGCTGAGTACATGCACTATGAATCCAGCACATCCATTTTGTAAGAGCAGAGATGTTGCTGCGATGGTACTATTTTGCGGGAGCGTACAAGTTCAGTTGTTTTAAGTCCTGTCTTTGTGTCGAAAGCTCGTCAAGAGAGGTGACGGCAAGTCACTGAAAATTCATGCAGCACATGAGGAAGGATCTCCGGTCGAATCAAATGTCTTAAAACTGTGGCAGGCTTGCAATTGTGTGCGGATCGAGAACACAGGCTAATTCACGTTATCCTCCTGTACATTGTATTCCTACATCATTGGTTCAGCAGATATTCCTTGTGCACGGGTTTTAAGCTTTAAATTGCTGTGTTAACTTGCTGTTTACAGAGGAGACTTCGCTCCAAGCGCATGATATCCTTAGGCATGACGCTGGCAGTCCAGCGATATATCTTAGGGTGAGGTTTCTCTGTATCACTTCTTCGCTTGTAACGTCGTTTCAGATCTACTAAGTTGCGTATTTTTTTCCTTACCTCACGTCATGTGGAATCCAGGTTTAGTTTTCTTAGAAAACGAAGTGAAACCTCCACACCGATAGTTCTTTGTATACCGTTGACGGTTGAGCTAATTCTATCCTTTAAAAGCTTTTCATTTGTGCCGCTGTGAGGTTTTTACAGTCTGGAACGAAGCCAGCCCGATCTCGAACTGCAATGTATGAAGCAAACATGTCAGTGGAGGAGTGGCCATCTATTAACAAGAAAGAGATTCCTCCAGAAGAAATACCACCTTCCCGGGTCTCCTTCTATTTCGAAAACCAGCCTGGAAGAGCATCACCGCGGAGAGCATCACCCAGACACTCTCCTGTGCATCCCAAAAACCTTCCCCTGTTCCCTGCTCAACGCAGAATGTCCTCGGATAGAAGACCCTCCTATGAGAATTTCCCGAAGTCTCCTGATTCTTCCATCATTCGTAACGTTGTGCTGAATTCGTTGCACAAAGAGAAGTCGCGAGTGTCCGTGGATAATTCTAGCAGAGAAACGATGGCTGGTCTCATACGTTTGAAGAATTTGGCAAGGTCACGCTCAGTTGGTGGAAGAAATGCTTCCGCCAGGGCAGGCGCGGAGTTTCCAAGATCTAATTCGCTGGGTGAGCAAAGAAGCTTGGAAGTGTACAGCGATTGCATAGAGGAACCGCTGGGATTTCTCGCACGAGAGCGGATAACGTCGAACCTCATCCATTTGCGACGCTCAGTTGATAGTCGTGAGATTTCTAGGCTAACTGTAGAATTGGAGGAAGGACCAGGAGTTGGCTCTTTCAAAGATAGGAGACAAAAGTTCGTTGACGATAGGAGTTCTCATCTGAATAATTTTCACAAGCACGAGAGTGACGCTGCCAGACAAGCAGCATTGGACTTGGAAAAGTCCCTTTATGCACTGAATTTGAAGGAATCCTTTCGAACTTTTCAAAAAGATAAAACCTATATTCACAGATCTCTTGTTAGCGGAGATGTTCGGAGATCGCCTCAAGCAGCTGCTGCTTCAAAGATTGGTGGAAGGTCTCCACGAAGAGAGCAAATGACACGACGAGTCGACTTTGAAGGCAGGTGTGGAGGCACAAATGTTGTTGCGCGGTTGATGGGACTAGAGGAACTTTCTGTCCCTTCAACACGCATGGACCTTACAGAAGCAGGAGCAACAGACATGAATTCTAAATCTCTCTCAGCAGACACTGAACATGGAAAATGCGACGAGTACAGGCATGGTTCATACAGAGGAAGATATCTGTCACGAAAGCATCGTCTAATGGATGGCATGCCCTCTAGGATACGGCAGCAAGAAGTTCGTGAAGCCTTAAAGAGCAAGATAACTAAATCCAAGAATTATTTTCACGAGGAAGGTCCGTTGCTCACTATACAAGGCTGCAAAAGTCCAACATCAACACACGAACCCCTTCACGATGATATTATGCAACGACTACAACAGTTGCGATCCTGGAATGCTACAGAAGAGCGTGAAATTCTCAGCCAGATCTTGGAAACCTTACAATTGAAGGGATTGTTGCATTTGCCTCGAAGTAATAGCAGAGAGGCAGCTGATAGGGTGACGCGCAATATTCCTACACAGATGAATTCTGACGAAGTTAATGTTTTCGAATATCGAGCTGATTCAGGACACGATTGGCGAAAATTTTCGACCAGACAGGATTCATCACTGAAGCACCCTGCGACTATTATGATAATGAGGCCCTCTCCGACGAAAATGGAAGTTGCATCCATGCACAAACATGCAGATTGCAAATGTAATGGATCGGAGAGCTCTGAGAGGTCTGAAGCAACAAGCACCCGTTTAAGCAATGAGGACCGGTATGGCTTCTCACCTTCTCCTCGCAATATTTAATGATTTTCACCAAAAAAAATCAAGCAGACTCAATTGAAGACGATACGCTTTTGGTTTGAATTTGACTAGAATATTGCCGCAACTTCCGTCTGATTTGGCGATTGTACTTTGCTCCTTGTAAGGTATTGGTTGTGTTTGAAGTGTATGTAGGGGATCAGCGAAACATGTTCGTGAAAAGATAAGAAGCCCAGCACGATCATCAAGACCTCTGCCGAGAATGAAAGATAATGCCCGGTCGACAAGTCCAAAGCAGCGACGTCCTCCACAAGGAGAAGAAGGCCAATCATGGAAGGTCTCTCTGCCCGTGAAAGCGATGTCCAGCATCAGCAATACTCCATCGCAATTGCCTCAGGCAAGACTCCCTCGAGGTCAAGCCCCTCATTTGAGAGACAAGAAAGAGTCAAAAGCTGCACTTGTGACGTTAAGGGGCCAGTCTCACGGCACGTTGAAGAAATGCTTGGCGGCGAAGAACTGTGAAGCTCAAACTGCAAGAAACTCAGTTGAAACCACTCATCGTAAACGGTCTTCAAGAACTGCAAACAAAGCTGCATCTCCAACCGCAAGTAGATATTCGACACCATGCCGGGATAACGTCGAAGACAGGATTGCGTCGGAGACGCGTCTAGACAAGAAGAAGTTTGCGGAAGGAACTCACTCTCCAGCACACGAGGCAGCCCTAAAAGAAACGGACTATGAGGATTGGAAAAAGGAATGTAAAGCACGAGTTACGGCCGGAGGAGCGATGGACCACAGTGTAGTCAACTTTGATCACGATCCTTGTGTCGATCGACATGCTTTGAACAGCTCTCCGGCGAGGTTAAGAGCAAAATTGCAGGCATGCCAATGAACAAGCTCCTTCTCTACCAAGCCTTGATGTTGAAATTGCTTCGTGTCTTTGATATATGCCCGAATTGACAGTGCTCAGTTTGCTTCGCAGACATTGAAGGATTGTTCTGATGTCAAGGCCGCCCCTAATGAACTAAAGGCGCCCCAAGGTTCTCCAGCGGAGAAAACGCAGACTCCTGATCAACAACAAGGTTTGGAAAGCTGTGACCAGCACAGTCCGGTATCAGTCTTGGACAATAGCGTTTTCGACGCGGAGGATAGCAGTCCCAGTCCTCCTGTCACCACTAATGTTCAAGGTATCCCCTAGTCGATCATTCTGAATACTTGCATAATGAGTTTTGGCTCTAAAAACTGTATGCAACAATCAACAAGTCTTTCAACGTCGTAACCTTGATTGATGCAGATTCACACCAATCCGAAGGGCATGAGTACGAAACGAGAGTTGAGGATGGGGACCGGTTTGCTATCACCCCCTCAACTTCCGTTGAGACAAAACATGTAACTTACGTACCTCCAGCAGAACGTGGTGAACCTCGTGACCTACATGCGGAGATGCACCTACCGATTGACCACATTACCTCGTGTGATGAAGGCATCAATTCTTCATTGAGCAGAGACAACTTGGTCACAGACTTTGTGGGCCAGCTGCTGGTGATGTCAGGAGCCGCCAGGGCGGAGTGGTCGAGCGGGATGTTTGTATCAGGACAACTATACGCTAACCATGAGAATCACCATGAATGGCTCTCCAAATTCGAAGCACCTGAAAACGCTTACCTCTTCAACAAGTGCCACAGACAGCTGCTGATCGATTTTACAATTGAGGTTCTGACAACGAAACTAGCTGAAAATGAGAGCGCAGAGACATGGCTCGAGCCATCTTGGGCTAGGACAGAGCAGCAGCACCAGTTCAAGCGGCAGAGCATTGAGAATATTATATGGAAAGAGTTACAAGATCTTCCCTGCACTTCATCGTATGATATCTGCGATGCAGTTCAAGGCATTTTGCAAAAGGATTTCGGCTCGCAAGGTCCCAAGTGGACCGGTTTCCGAACAGAAGTCGGTGAAGTCGGTGTCGAAGTGGAGAAAATGATCTACAAAGACTTGATGGACGAGGTGGTGAGAGAACTAAAATGCTTCGGCTCATGCAGGCACCTAACAAATATCTTCGAGGGGGGAAGCGGTCCTCGTCGACAGCTATTCACTTCATGAAAGTCATCGCCATCCTTTTTTCAAGTTACATGATATTATATGTGAATGATGTTGGACGTCGCCAACCTTGGCTGCGTCGAACAAATACTTGTGGCAGCAGCAGCAGTAGCGGAGGAGAACTCAAGTTACCCTACAACCATGTGAACTCAAATGTAGGGTCCACGTCTCCAAGGTCCTCTTTATCTCCAAAAGAATGTTTCGGTGTTTCACACATTTTGAGTCCTCACTTCGAAGTCACGTTTTCAGCTGATTATTTTGGGTTGCTTGAAACAAAAGGTATTTTGTTTATGTATAATCTTAACACATTATACAGTACTGTGCATAATAAAAAAAAAGAATGAAGCAGTTTATTTTTTGATCCAAGAAAGTAGAATATAAAATCTCAGTTATTTTTGAACTTTAGAGTTTGGTTTGGTTAGAGAACGAGTGTGGTACAAGGCTTGATTTATGTAACAAATGGTGATTAGAAGAATCAGGGCAGAAAGAAATATAACATAAATCAATCAATCACTCATTCAAAAATGCTAATATATTTGAAAATTTCATGTCTGATTTAAAACGCTTGTAAATGAACCAAAATTATAGTTTTAGAGTAGAAATTTTTTTGAATAGAGGGATGTAAACTTTATTGATTTTGATTAACAAAAAAAAAAAAAAAAAAAAAAAAAAAACAATCAAACAAAGTACTGTGAATGTGAAAATAATAGAAAAAAAGAATGTTGTATTACTGTAGTTAGAGTAAAAAAGGTCAAAACATTGTCTAAATATATACAATTTAAAAGTTATAAAAATCGCTGTGAACAAGCTACAAATGAATTTCATATTTTAAAAAAGATAGTTGCAGTCAATATTGCTGTCTACTTTTGTCTCAGGTTTTGAAATTGCTGTCTACTTTTGTCTCAGGATTTGTAGCAAGTTTAATCTCAAGTGATGTGGATTTTGGAAATGCAAAAATATCAAACATGCACAAAATAGACAATTGAATTCTATTTTAAGAAAAGTTATTTCCTTTTACATGGCCAAGTCCAAAGGTTATATGATTTGTTTTTTTTAATAATTGTGATTACACTTTTTGAATGTCTACTACTTAATTTTAAATTTATTTTACTACATGATAGTAAAATGAATTTCAAATGAATTTTAAATTCATTCATTCATCTAATAATTCTAATACTCTTCACAAAGAATCTATGACGGAGTAAACTAACATTTTTATAGCATTAGTATAAGCAATGGAAATTTCCTTTTCTTATTATTTCTTGTTTCTTTTCAGGTAACTGTGTCTGTTGGTAGCATCAACTTCTTTCTTACAAGATTTAAAACGATATTTTGTTCACAGTAGCATAAGGACACGATTTCAATTGAAATATTTAAAAATACATACTTTATTAAAAATTTATTAGTATATATATATATATATATAGCACCACAGTATTATTGGTCTTAGTTATTTCATACCATGATTCTAATAATGTCATGTTTTAAGGTAAACCGCACAAATGGTAAACTAAAATCAAATCACAGGAGTTTGATATATATATATATATATATATGAACAACTAAAGCAAGAGCATAAAAACTTGTTACCAAATCCAAGACTTTCAAACCTACACTACAAAAGGTATAGATGCAATATGCATAACAACATCTTGGTTGAAAATTACAGAGCTAGTAGTGCACACTAATACCAAGCAAGGAGTTACTGAATTCATTAAAAGTAACTAAACTCCATTATGTTAAACAAGCAAGTAGGTTAGGGTAAGTAATGGAAGAAAAGCTGTGCCCAAATAACAAGGCATTCAGTTAACCAACCATCTCACGTCAACTGCCTAGATTTACTGCAATATACTCTTCCTGCGTGAGAGATTCATCTGCAGGTTTCCAAACCCTAATTTATCACACCGCCATGATGGACAACCCCAGTGAGTTAACTTGAGGAATGCATTAGTCACCAGAATGAACAAGAGCACAAAAGGTCTAGTGACAAATCTCGAGCATTATACTAAAGAGAACTGCAAGAAGTACCGACTCATACCGACAATACTGTTGTCATGAAAGTGTATCATCCTTCCGGTACGAGCTTTAGAACTTTGTGTTGCCGGTATGAGTCAACACCTCACACCTCACACGAAAACCGCGACATCTATGGTTGTCATTGTTGATGAGTGGGAGTAGTAGTAGTTCCACTGATCTGACGATGTCAAACACCAGCTTCTGTGCCTAGCCTTTCGCGAAGGATTTGCACTCCCATGTACCTGCACAGAACCATAGACAGTTGCTCAGATGTCCATAAATTGCGTGATGCATGCTTTTATACAGTTTTGTAGCGTAATTTCTAGAGTTTATCGTTCATGTGAGCCTCGAGCTCGACGTTGTAGTTATGGAGATGCCGCGCGGGGGATCAGTTGTGCGCTGGAAGCTCAGGATGGATCGGTATTTTCATGATACTGTTCATATGGATTCAAAATGGTTACTTTTTCTGTGTGTAATAATTGAAAGTGGGTTTAGAAATGATCGAAGCATCACCTCCCGAGCATCATCACAGTGGCCTGAGGATTCGAGCCGGGAGAGCGTCGGAACGTTGACCCATCGATCACACGGAGCGACTGCACCCCAATGACGCGGTAGTCTTGCCCCACAACGTCCCCAACCAAACTACCGCCGTGGTAATGCCAAATCGTGGTGACGGTATCCACGCACCACTGCCGGATATTGATCGAGTCCTGGGTGGCGTTGGAGAGGTCCCGCTGCGGTCGAGAGCTCTCCACGGCCTCCCTCACAGGCCGCAACACGCGAGGAATTGTGTCAATCGTGTACTGCAGTCTCGATAGTGAAGGCGAATTCAGCATGTCGAGCACCGTGCGAATCCCTTGCTCGCATGTGGCCAAGTCCTGTGGATCCTGAAAGTAGTTGAACCAGACTCGCGGGTTGTCGATGGCGTTCAAGCTAGAAAGTCGCAGCAGCCCCGAAGACAACGGGCCCCATATCTTCTGCAGGATGGTGCCGCTCCATGAAGCTTGAAGTCGAAACGGCCCTGGAACCTCGCGAATCGCCGAAAAGATTCTCGTTAGCGAGGATTGTGCGGTGAAAGTGTCATAGTTTAAGTCGCTGCGTCCCCAGGAGCTTCTCGAGCCGATAGATGTGGGGTTATCGGCAACGGAGTCTCTTTCGGTTGCGGCGATCAAGACCTCTGCCTGCCCGCTTGAGATTTCGATGAAGCTGCCCCAGCTAGTGATACCCACCACCTGGATTAGGGAGACTTCAACCGCCTGGTTGGTGAGCACCCACATAGAATTTGTTGGATTGTCCGCCATATTCGAACCCACGGCGGGGTTGTCGAGGATGGTGGTGATGTTGAAAGCGGCCAGGTGATCGGCTGGGCCGATGCCGCTCAGCATGAGCAGCACCGGGGTGCCAAGCGCACCCGCCGAGAGGATTATTTCGCTACCAGGATTCTCGCTCAGTAGGGCTGTGTGATTGTTGCCGTCGAGATCCACGTATATTACACCAATTGCTCGTGGTTCCCACTGGCTGTTCGCTCCTGCGAGGTAGCAGAAGGAAAGGGGAAGCGAATGGAAGGGAAGGGATCAGTCAACAACGTCAGTGTGTACTGGTGTCTTCGGCAACTAGAACTAGGGGATGAAATCCGACATACCGAATTCGGGAGCGAAAATCAGCCGTTGAGCGCTGGCCCAAATGTAGACGTCGAGGTTGCTCGGATTAGCATACGTGAGAAGGTCAGCAGCTGTGTGGCGGCGGCCATAGCTGTCGAATATAGACCCACCAACCTTCGTGCCGATCAAGTGCTCATACGTCTCGCCGTTGTAAGGGGTCACGCCAACCTCTAACAAAGCGTCTTGAGCCGCGCTCTATCACAGTAGAATCCAGAGGACAAGCTACAAACATTAGAATCACACATCCAACCATGGAACTCGCTCCACGGAAATGTAGATGATATTGCTCGATTCTGTTCAGAGACGACGAATTCTCACTTGGAAAGTTTGCAAAGTCGGAATTTCAGCAATTTCATCCGCAACCCAAGTAAACGAATCGTTCACTAAGGCAACATTCCAGCCCGCCTCCGCGACAAAATCAGGATCAGCATAAGTGAAAAAACCGGCATTGATAGCACTGCCGCCTCCTAGAACCCGGGCACGTTGATTGGGGATTCCTTCTTCGGAGGTGAAGGACTGCGATGCGGAGGTGCTGGTATCGATCTGGAGATTAGGGTAAAACCCAACGAGATTCTCCACGAACGCGTTTTGGTATGGCTGACCTGTGAAAGAATTAGTGACACGAAAACTGAAGGGTCAAACAATCAATCAAGGTGGGGTCTAAAATCTAGAAACAATGTGAGTTCCAGAGTGTTACGTCGTAGCATTTCTGCTTCTGAGTGACACGCCCAAGTTTGGAATCATACCTCCACGCTCCAATAGCAGGACTGAGTAGTTTTGTGAAAGAGTCGCTGCCAAGGGGCACCCTGCCGTTCCTCCTCCAATAATAATGTAATCGTAATCGCGGATCAGAGGTGGCGCTTCCGTGGCATTCAGCACAAAGGAGTAGTTGGGGTCTGGTTGAACAGACACACATACATTGTTCAATCTCTTCGACAATGTGGATTGTAGAATTCGATCCCTCCCAAAACATCATGGAAATTGATTCCCCGATTAAGCTCAGTTCGCAACAACCATGCTACCATGCCTGCTTTACATTGGAAGACCTGAGACTGAAAACTCACCACTGTATATTCTGGCAGAGTAGCAGCACCGGATCATGATTTGCATCATGACCAACACATACAGGAGTGTACATTTGGCCATACTTATCTGAAGTTCACGTTTCCGATCTGGATCTTTCCCTTTTTCCTTTATCCACTGCGCCCCACGTTGAATGTCTCCTGCTTGCGTGCTCGACGATCACTGGTGGTGGCGGGTTGCGGTACAGAAAAGAACGAAGAAGGGGGAAAAAAATTTTAAAATAAAAAAATTAAATTAAAACGAAATAATTTGCAGATATCCTTCGTCTACAAGATGTGGAGATGCTTTGGATTAGACCACTCTTTGCCTTGCAAATAACGGCAAAGTTCAGTTCATGCTAGATGAACAATAGTCCCGACTGGAGATATATAATTATAAAACTTAACCGAAGATTTATAATTATAAATCTGAACTGAAAGATGCGCAAAACTTTGTCAAATGACGACGATACCTTCTTGGTTCAGAGCTAGGCAACTAAATTGTGTCTCTTGATGCACATGCTACGGATCCTTTTGAAGCTTCCTACTCCATGCTATCCTAGCACTGTTCATGATCTCGGTAAGGCAGTGGGAATGCAAATACCTGCACAGTGTTGACTGATGCTTTTATCGAGAGGATGATTGATCGGCGGGTAAGAAACAAACCAACAAACAAAACACACATTCCCATGAGCTCTTCCCTGTTCCGAGGTAAAGTTCCATTTCATGAGAATTTCAATCATTCCAGGATATAAGCCTCGAAATCTATTGGGAACCAACTCTGTCGATAGAGGAATCCAACCTTTTTCTCGAAAGTTAATCTTCGTCCGATAGGGCTGCACGAGAAGGATGACCTATGTTAGCGCACAGCTCCACAATGTGTGATGAGATTTATCTAGCCATGTACTTCATGAACTAATGGAATCTTGGTTGAACTAATCTGCACCAGAAAGGCACCCTTTTACCATATAACCCGATCCTGCAGGGACCATGATTCTTCAATTGGACGGAAGTTGGTGAAGTTTTCAGCATCATGGTTTTCAAAACCCACGTTCACGTACTGCTTACAAAGGGAAACTGCTAACCCTTCAACAGTGTCTAGCCAGTATAACTTATGATAAGAAAAAATAAATAAATAAAAATAACATAACATCATGAATAATAAAACTCATGTTGTGCTATCAGGTTGATCAGAGCGTTCATCAATTTGTTATGAGAAATTTGGCACCAACCGTATATCTTCCACCACCAACTGCCTCACACCACACCAGCTTCATGCTATTGCTGTGGCCTAGGCCTACCAGCTGCAGCAGATCTCTTGTCTCCTTCAATCCCCTTTGGTCTGTGTATGGTGCAACCATTCGGACCTCTACAATTAGACTAGCTCGAAAATCTTCCACGTGAAGCTTTTTATAGAATTCCATTTGCTCTTCTTTACGATGCTGACTTCGAGCTACACGACGCCCACAGACATTGCATTATGCGTAGCCTGTTCAACCTCTACTTATTATTATTATTATTATTATTATTCATTCTTCCTCATTCATATAGTAGTACCATCTGTCTACACTAGCATTATTTTGCTAATTTTTAGCATCTGTTTTGCTACAGGAATTGTTGATGAAGTGCGGTATTGATAGGCAATGATTCAAATATAAAATTAAAAACAAAGTTGCTTGTAATGTCTGTTGTCATGAGCGTGATATTATGAAATTGGCCATCAACAACAACACTGGTTTAAATTCTTCTTAAGGAACCTCTCTTTTTGTGAGAATTTTTTTGTATGTGACTTTATATGGAGGATTTATTTATTTAATAAGGAGATGTATGGCTTTCTTTATAGAATCTATATCTCTAAGTAAAATGTGTTTACTAGATGTTGCCTTTTTATTATTTTATTTCATCTTTGTTTATTTTATTTCTTGCTTCTTATATCCTATTTATTTATTTATTTTACCAAAAGACATATACATATATATAATTTTATTAAATAATTTATTAAAAAATAAAAAAATAAAAAAATAAAAGTTTTTATTTATTTATTTTTATTATTTTTTAAGAATGTACAATGATTTTTCACACACACACACACACACACACACATATATATATATATATATATATATATATATTAATTTTGATTATAACTTTAGTAGAAAAAATCATAGATATAAGTCTTTTATAACAAGATATGCTTTGCATGAGCCTCTAGTTATGTCTTATAATACTATTATCAAATTCTAAATAATAAAGTAAAAAAATGTTATTAAAAAGTTCAATAACTTAAAAAAGTTATTAAAACTTTTATATAATTTTTTAGAGTCATTAACAAACCCTTAACAAGTTACAAATGAATGTATAAGAGGGGCAACTTTGCATTTAAAGCTCAAAAACTCCTTTTTCTTGTCTTGAAATCTTTGACTTGTACCAACTAGTGTAAAAAATATTATTTTATTTTTTTAGTATAGGATATTATTTTTGAAAATTTCATGACAAATTTCCTACATTAAAAAAAATTATCCTGCATTAGTAAGGCTTGGTTACTAATATTGTAATAGAAAATTTTAATTAATTAATTTACCAATCTATACATAATTTTTTTGTAAGAAAGTAGAATTATATTTCATTAGTATAATATTTATCTCTTTCTTTGCTAATACATATAAAATATGTTTTGAAGTCTTTCTTTTCTTTTATTGTAGCTCTCAATTTTATCAATTATATTATAATAAGTAAATCTTTTTTTGTAATAAAAAATTCTTAATATGTGGCAAATAAAATTTCTAACAAAAAAATATTATTGCCAAAATACCTTATTATTATTGGTAATATTAAATAAAATTCTATCAACAGTTTTAAAAATTATTATATTGGTTATTGATGCTTATTCTTATGTAATTGTTTTGCAAATATGATGAAGTCTTTATTGATGTAGTTATTTAAGAAAAATAATAAAAAAAAAAAGTTATTATCTTTTTAGTTTAAAATTGTAATAATATTATTTTTTTAAGCTAAAAGAAATAAATAATTAATACTAGAAGAAACAACTAGTACAATTATTTAGTCTTCAATTCTAAAATGTGTTAAAAAATTATTTTATTGTGATAGTACTAAATATAATAAATAAAAATTACTTATTTATAATAAATTCTTAAAAAATAATTATAATTTTTACAATGTACTATTTTCTAGTGATAAATACCACTTTTAAAAATTTGTAGTATATAATTTTTAAATAATTATTTTTTATTTGTTTATATCAATTTTTTTTAAAATTTATTTTTTAAAAATATAAGTGTTATTTCATTTTATTTTATTATATAAAATGATAAGCTTAAACATCCAATAATTCTTTGATCATATAAAATTGATTATTGGTAACAAAGAATCATTATTGCAATCAAGATTTTCAAAATATGCCTTAGCTATAGCATTTGTATCATACAAACTTTTGATGTTTGTAGTATTTCTAAAAACCAAAGCTTGTACAAACCAAAATATCTATATTCTTAGTATTTTTTTATTAGTAAAAAATTACATTACTAAAAGCAAATTTCAATTATATTTTAAATATCTATATGGATGTATTGCATTACAAAGTAAGAAAAAATACAAATTATATTTTGAAATCTTCTTTAAAAGTTAGGCACAACATAAAACTAAAAAAATTTAAACAATAACACTTCTTCAACAAGAATTGCTATTAAATGTTCATATATTTACTTTATTACCATAATTTTGTAAGAACCAATATCTATACCTTTAATTGTAATAATATAAAAAATTGTAGAATGAAGGTTTTTAGGTCTATCATCATTTGCATATATCATAAAAACTCTTGTCAATTGTGTCAAATTTTGGCCTTCTATCTCCTTTTTTGGATTCCCATTAGAATTAAAATATACCTCATGTTAGCTTAAAAGGCAAACTTGCAACTATTGGTCATTGTAGCTTCTATTTTTTAAGCTTAATACTGAAAATTCTATAAGATTCTTCTAGCAATAAAATGTAATAACCATCTAATTATTAAATAATAATCATTTCAATTTTCTTGTATAAGATAAGGTAAAGATAATATTATTTAATTTTTCATATTATATATATATATATATATTTCTAGAAGTATTTTAGAATATGCAATATCAATGTGGGAGTTAAAAAGTTAAAAATTAATAATATTATAAAGAATTATTTGTTTATTGGCTTATATTGCTCTCAACTTATATTACTTTTTTGGTATAGTTTTTTTAATAGAAGCAAAGGTAAACATTTCAAGTTTTTATATTTCTTTAAACTCTTTCAAATATCTTTTTAATATTGATTACTAATCATGTAAAATGCATCTAGCTTAAGATATCTACTAGAGTAGTAAATTATCAAAATCATAATTATTATATGATCTTAAAATATAATTCTAAGATCTAAAATTTTAGCTATAAATGTTATATTCAAGTAAGTTAGATCTCTTGGTTTGTTTTATAAAGTAAATCAATCAAAAGATTAGTATAAAAATATTATATTTTCAAATTGTAATGATATAAATATGTACAATTTATAGTATAAGAATTTTATGTTTTTTTAATATGGCTAACAAATGTTTAAAAGATTTATTATCAAAAATAAGATGGTTAAAAGTCTTTAGACCTTTAAATAATTATGTTATAATTTCTAGCTATTGTGGGTTGCAAATATTGACAATGAAAATATTTGGATTTTTGCAAACTTAAATTATATTAATTCTATCTCAGTAATATTGGTGCATATATCAACTAATTTTTGTAAAAAAGAAGAAAAAGGAAATGTCTTGTCAATGTTGCCAAGAGACTCATATACATTGTATTCTTTAACATACTTATAAATAGAACAAAGAATAACATTTGAGGTTGTCATCTAAATGAAGAGATTGTTATTCTTTGTTCAACTATTGAATGCCTCAAACATCTTTCTTGGTCTAATCTTTGTCAAACAATGAGATTGTACTTTGGTATATTTTTATGAAACTCTCAAAAATAACTGAAAATAATTAAATATAAATATATGAATATAATTATATTTATTATTATATAGTATCATTGAGTATAATTGTATCAACTTAATTTTGCTAAAAACTAGACCATTGTGAACATGAAGATAGTGTTTTGTATTATATATTGGTTCAAAACTTTTATACATTTTAGAACATTATTTACAAGAACAACTATACCAAAAATGGTGGTAAACCATGTGATGATTTTTTGGAGGAGGTCAAAATTGCAACAATTAATGCAAAAATCAGTCACTGTAGTGCATCATTTAATGATCATTTTAACTCTTAAAACATAAAATTATTAAAATATCATTCAAATTATCAATTAACAATTTCACACACCCACATTGAAATGATCCAATGAGTCATCTTTTCACTTATTGACTGTTTATAGCATCGTAATAAGATTTCTAGCCATTAGTGTACCTACTCATTAAATCAAGCCAATTAAAATTACCATAAAATTAAAATTCAGGAAGTAACACTCTTTGTGACAGGATTATGTTTAGAAGTTTACCCTCTGACCTCAAGAATATTATTAAGTCGTGAATACCCATACTGACGTGGTGTTAACAAAGACGCATACAACTAAGAAGTTGCAATTGTAGAGTTCCACTCTCGACATTCCACATGAAAACTTTTTAGGTTAGAGTAAGCGTGTCATACAGAAAATTCTTTGCAAGCCCTCGAAGATCCTGGCGCACAAAATATTAGGAGAATGTTAGTCAGGATGCTCCCAGACTTGATTTGACAACTTAAATGTGTTAGGTGTTTGCACCTCAAAGGTGATGACATCAGTATCATTATCCTTTTATACAAGAAATACAATAATTCAAATTACCGCAACTAATAAAATACTTCTTTTTTTATGCTGCTGAGATACAACCACAGTATGTAGCCATTACCAGTCATACTGGAATTAAGTTCACAAGCACATTTCACACCAGTTATCACATGAGAGATTCGTTGTAACCACACGTTAAAGCTGCTTACTTACATGCACACTAGGTAAACATAGAAAAAATTATATTTCTTGTGACGAGATAAACCCAACCAGTCCGAACTATGTCGGCTAATCTACGCCTCTATGTATCTCTATGCAATGAAGCCTCAATGTAAATGCAAATACTGCACCTACGTGAAAGCTCCCACAATGATTACCTTCTCTTGCAGCAGTGCAAGGTCAAAAATTATATTACTACAGGGTTCCAGGCAGTAACAACTGCTCGGAACTTATTCCCTGGTCAGGGAGCTCTGAAATTGATCCAACCTGTCACACTGCAAGAGCACTAGGGCAGCTTGATAATGTTTTTTGGACAATATGGACAAAAAGTTAAGACCGCTTTAGTGCAGGACAAGCAAATAGGATCACGTTGACCTAAAAATTATAACATACCCTTGAAGACCGGATTGAGACGGCATATACTGGAGCCATATTCTTCGTATTCAGCTTTGGTATGGCAAGCCTGTAGATGAAAGGTCCAGGAAAGCATGCTAAGCCAAATTAGATCTCGATGCATACGAAAAACCACTTGCAATCTAGAGCTCATCGGACATGCTGCTGACATGAAAGTTACTTGCAAAAATTAAATATTAAGAAAGAAGAGAAGCAGATAAAGATGGGTGATAGATATACATTATAAAAATCTGGCGTGGAAGCCAAGAGCGAGCCTCCAAACCAGACAGCGAATCGTTGCATGGGATGTCCCACCACATTTACTTCAACTGCCTGAGACTGTAGACAAATAGCCATGTCTTCACAAACAAGTTGCTGAACAACTTTCAAACCAGCATATCATACCTAAAGCTTAAAAGAAGAGGCAGCTAGGCAGAACTGAGAAAGCAGACAAAGCATGCAAATGCACCAGGGACAACCAAGGAAGCTCAGGCCCTATGTTCGCCAATATATTGGTGCATTCTCCACCTCGGCATGAAACATGATCTGAGTCGTCATGGAAGAGGCTGTAATCATACAAAGGAACTGCTATTAAATAGAATAGGCTTACTTTGTGGTCACCTCCAGATTTCTTTTCTGAAGCTGAAGTCCGCGCATCTACACGTTTCTTGATATCTCGTTGCAATCTTCTTTGAAAATCCTTGAACATTGTAGACCCCCCGGAAAGGACAATATTCTGTTGGAATGAAACAAGGAGTATGTCAATATTCAATTCAGTTCAAAAGACTAATTCTACAAAACAATCCTCTAAATATAACATGGCATATCAAAGGCGGATTATATGGTCAAACCAGACAACCTCAGACAATGAGATGCAGGTGGACATAACACATCGTAAACAATAGACCGCAGTAGGTAATAGGAGCTGCATACAGTGATGACAGAACAAATGAAACTAACCTTGTATAGGGCTCGACGAACATCAATAGGAGCCGATTGTATGCAGTTATCAACCACCTCTGGCAAAGGTGTTGTGAAATCACTGCTATAAATCTCTGGTGAGAAGAATACCTGTCGAACTCAAAAATCAAACGTGTCAGTTTCAAAATAAAATAAACTGTATCAGGATAAAAATATTTCTCAGCATGTGATCAACCCTAAGTAAGTAAAGAAATTGTCTAATATCAATTGAAGGGTGAAAGTTCAATCTCTCCCTCTCTTTCGCTCTCTTTGCGAGACGGGTCCAGACGCTGACCTCGGGCGCCAAAAATCTCTCATATCCAATATCACAAGAAAAGGGCGCTCCAGTTTTCGAATTGTTTCCTTTCCACTGCTTAACGTATTTGGCAGGTTCCTTATCATGCTTACCAAACTCCTGCAACACATGCAGTTCTACCAAGTGAGCAGCCGAGCAGCCATTGCAACAATATGTTCCAGATAATCAATGAGATCCCAGTATTCCTATGACTATAGCTTCATATGATGAGATAAAAATGGATATTACCTTCGCAATATCAGCACATGTGTAGCAATACATTTCTTTCACCCTCCTGGCAATATCCAAGGAATCCTCGGGGGGCACAGGTTCGCCTCGTTCCTAGAATAAACATGTAGCACTTGTAAGTCACCTACTCCAAAAAATTCCTACTTTTCAAATATCTTTTATAGGCTATTCAATCGATTCAAACCGCCACAGAAACAATCTGGAGTGACAAGCTATTACGTGGATCAGCTACAATTATCGACCAATTCTGCCCGATGCATCATATCAGAAATGATTCTATCACATTATGAAGCTGAGTTATGTTGTCATTGAGGTGCTAGGAGAGGTAAGGTTTTGGCTGCTACTCGCATTAGCTGTTGAACGAAATTAGAGAGATCCCGGCCTGCGACAGGAATTGACTTGATGCTGCTACCAATGATGTAACCATCCGCCACTGGAACAACATGAGTCATTCCATCCCCGGCATCCACCACCAAGCCCGTCATTTCCAGCTGCATTCAGTTCCCAACACATTAAAGCCACCAAGATCCCTACACTCAACCAGACTCGCACTTTCTTTTCACTACCAGTCGAAGCCAACAGTGTAAATCCATACAGATCGTAGGTACATGGACCTCAGAAACAACCAGGGCTACTTCAATACACTTATCAATTCACGAATCAAAAGACTCCATTATCAATGATTCACGGGAGCACCAGAAAGAACCCAAAATAGCCAAACTCTACCTTGGAGGTCGTGTAGCCAGCTGCTAGAGCTAACACTGCTTGAGTTGCGATATACAATCCTGGCACGTTGAAAGTCTCGAACATGATTTCTCCCATGTATTCACGATTCTCTGGTGCTGTCAAGGGGCTCTCAGTGAGTAACATATAATGATCTTCTGGATCGCATCGCAGATAGTTGAAGAGGCATTGCTGCCAAAATCTCTCCATCGTATCCCAATTTTCAATCTGCAAAAAGTAACGAAGGCTGTCGGACATTAAAACACCCTTCAGTAGTGCGAAAATATTACGACCACAACCACTTAAACTTCACGTGAAAGAAGTACCCCAGAATGCGGAGGTTGATACGTGTACCTGGCCTTGTCGAATGGGATAACTAAGAGTGTACGCACTTGAGTGTTGCTTCGCAAGTGCCTCTTCGCCAATGTAGAAATCGAGATCAGCCATTACTCCTGCATTGTGATATGCAGCTGTGCCTGCCTTTGGAGCCGACTGGCCCAAAAAGGACTCATTGAGTGCCACTACTGTAGGAATAATAAAACAGGGCTCCACATTCCCTGCGAATCCCATCTTCGTATACCTACATATTCATGTCGTGAGATTCTATGTAGGCTCAATATGCCGTCAAATTGAGCTACAAATACCATGTCTCACGATCTTTAAAGACGATCTTTAAAGACGATCGTCACTGAGTGAACCGTTTAGAATACATCAGAGCGCTACGTAACCTCTAGGTACTTGCATATGATCAACCCCAACCAAGGTTCACGAGGCGTAGCAACGCTCTGAATTCTTAACCCAGCACGACGGGATTCACCAACCCCCCACGCAACGTTCAGCAAAAGTCACAATCCACCGCAATTGATGCTACTCATAACCCTAATTCTCATCGAACCAATCGGACTACACAGGTCCAACAAACGTCTCACGACGGCATCACAACCACGCTTCTAACCCTCTCTCAGCCAGCCTCATTCCAACAATCCACATGCCCACTCTCAGACCGAAAAACCCACAACCAACGATGCAACCAACACAGCACAAGCAATCTCCCAGCGTCACGCCTCGAAACCTCAAAAGGATTCACCGATCGACAATGAGAAGGAATGCATAGAAAGCAATACAAAACACAGCAAAACAAAAGCTGGGTAATGCAAAACAAACATACCCGGTGCCATTGTCGATGACAACAGCAGGACGTTGAGTAGCATCCATCTCGCTGCGACAGGGGAATCAGGGATCCAGCAGCAAAGCTCGATTGTTCACGATCCGAAGCCTTCTCATCGAGGTCGAGGACGAGCAAGGGTTCGTAGACACCTACGGAGCCTTCATCGAGTCCCATTTTCATGCCGGCCAATGGGACGCCTCCCTGCTCGTCCGACGTGTCGTCTGACACGTCGGACTCAGAACGTGTTACGTGTCCGACGTGAGGTGGTGCTGAGTTGGACTTGAAATCCAGCTCATCGTCTCTCTCGCTCCATCTCTCGTTTGTAAATTCTAAGATTATCAGAAAACAGTTCTCAAGTGTTTGGGTTGCTATTTTTTATTCCTTTTTGTGTAATTTTTTAATGAAGGTGTTGCAAAAATCGCATATATATTTGTATTTATGGAAAAAAAATGTAATCTAAGATTTTGATTGTTATTTCGAGCACTGGATACATTTTGTATAAAATATAAACTTACAATGTTCGATTATATATATTTTTATAATGTAATATAATCCTTATTCACTATTGCATATTCTGCATAACGGATTAAATAACAAAACTCGTTTTCAGTAATGAAAAAAAGGAAAATTTAGTTCACCTTTTTTTCAAAATGTTATTGTGATATAAAAAAACACATTTCTATAATTATTTTACTTGTTCTTTTCTTAAATGTAGGTTTGCTATCTTGATTAGTGATGTTTAAAAGAAAACAAAGAAAAAAGAAAAAACTTAATTGCCTCAAAGACAGCTAAATAATGATTATTGATAATGCAAAAAGATTGAAAGTGTGGACGAAAATGTATTACTGCTATGTTTGTAAAATTCATGTTTTTCCAAGTTTTTATTATTGTTAGTTTTAAATGTAATTTTTTTCACAACAACCTTTTTTTGGTGATTTTATCAATATAAGGGTGTATTATATTCTATTTTGTCACAATTCACAAATGAAATTGAAATATTATATTTTTCATTTTGTTTAACTTTACTAAAAAAAACTACCCAATTCTTAAGAACTATATAAACACACATGTGTATAAACCACAACTTCACTCTTAAAGCATGAGCAACTGAACTCATTAAAAGAAAATTCAGCACTAAGGTAATGTTAATTTATATATTTTAAAACCCTAATTTCAACATTTTCGAACCTTTCAACAGGGACACAGTTTGGTATAATTTTAGTATTTTCGATGTATTGAATGCACTAAAATACAAATATAATTACACCTAAAAATAAATACAATTTGTGCAAATCAATACTTCAACTTCATGATTTGATTAAGTATTATGCATGAAATTTTTGATTTAGAATTTGATTTATACATTTGATTTACACAAAAAAAAAAAAAAAAAAAAAAAAAAAGTTTGATTTAGAATTTGACTAAGCATTATGCATCCTTTGCTAAAAAAATATTTAAATTGATAAATGCTAATTATATTTGTAATCTCATAGATAAACTTCCAATAAACTCAAGTTCTTCAATAGCAATAGTAAAGACCACAATATTTATAAATATTTTTAAATACTACAGACCAGGAGTGCATTATTTTAATTGAAATGTAGTACACATACTACAGTAGCAACTCTTAGAGAAACAATTGCATAATTCATATTGTAGCCTACTAATCTGGCTATACATTAATTAGTGTGGACCACTCTATTTAGAAATCCATAATATTTTATAAATTACACTAATTACTATAGTCTGTGTAGTCGTATGTTTAATCTTGTTTCAAATACAACATCTTGTTTTTCTTGTATTTCTTAATCTCTTGGTTTTTTGTGTTTATGTCCTTGACATATTGCTGTCTTTTTTTAGCTTTAAATTTATATTATAATTGTAGTTCTGCAATATATATATATATATATATATATATATATACAATGCTAGTTTTGAAAAGAATCACATCAACTAGTTTTAAGATTATTTTATTTTATATTTTAAAATGTATAAAATTGAAATTGTAATCATATTTTGTTTACTTATATTTACACACATTACTAGATGTCATAAAGATAGAAAGTGTCTTATATGATTGCATTTTTCCTCTGTGAACAACAATGACAGCAATGTTAGAATCAATGTTGATAGTACCAAAGGTGTCTTCTTAAATTATAAACTATTGTCTAACATAAAATTGTATTGCATACAGACATACACATCTTATTTTAGTTAAACCAGATTGTATACAAAGTTTCTTGCTAAAATTCATTTCATTTTTGTATAAAAAATAAAATAAAATAAAACAAAATAAAAAATAAAAAATGTTATAAAATACAACCATTAATATTTTGTAAGTTTTAAACGTTTTTTTTTTTTTTTTTTTTTTTTTTTTTTCTCAAATTTCATAAATAAAAATATAAGAATATCATTACAATCAAAGATTTTGGCTTTATATCTATATATATATATATATATATATATATACTTTTATGATCATATTTCTTTACAATGAATATTATTCTTTTAATGTTTAAAATTTTATAAAATATTTAAATTTAAAATTTAAAAATTGAATCAAGCTAATTTTATGCTTAAAAAAACATGAAGTGTGTTTTTAAAATATTATCTTGAACATCATAGAGAATTGCAACCAGGTGTAAAAAAACAATGTAAAACAAAAAAAATTCAAATTTATACATGGAGTACTTGAATATTGAATTATCAAATCTTAGTGGACAAAGAAATAATCATATGTTGAATTTGACAATTCATATATTTTAGGAGAACATAATTCCTATACAAATTTCAAAACCATGACATAATAAAACATGCTAATAGTGTTATCCATGTTCCACATAGACAGATTGTGTTGGAAGCACCTTTGAAATCTTATTGACTTAATACTTGTAAAATCAATGTCTTGTAAGATGTTGGCATCTAAATTTTTTAGAACAATAATAACAATAATCATATTGATGATTCAAATTGTAACAAACAACAAAGCTATTATTCAAATGATGTGCATGATAGGCAATACAAATAGATATAGTTCAAGCTTGGTGTAAAATATTCATAACCACATGCACCTTTAAATAGAACATTAAACTATTTTATAAGATATGACATACTAAATAGTAATTCAATTCTACATGGTATAAACTTAAACCTAAAAAACAAAAAAAAATGTTACATGGTCAAAAAAAACCATTAAGGAACAAACCAAAAAAACATTAAATATTTTTTTCCAAAGGCTAGAAGACATAATTAACATATCTTTTATATAAAACAACTTGAGGGGAATAAACCAACAAGATAAACTAGAGGAAACAAAACCCATTTTTAATTGGTTGCATATTTCATTGTTTTTATAAAAAATGAAGCAAAAGTGAAGTAATAACTTAACTTTTGAACAATCAGATCTAAATTTGCATGTCTTGGTATAGATTGCAAAGAGTAGCACTCCAAGATCACTAGGTGTAGAGGTTGGAAGCATCACAATGTGGAACAACATCAAACATAGTGGAATGACATGCAACATAGAGTTTCATGTCATATGAAGCTTCAAACAAAAGATTAATTTACAACATAATATTTTCAATGTTTTTTTGTGGCCATTGGCATAAGTCTCTACTAGAATGTAAATAAACCAATACAATTTTTTCTACACAATAGCAAATTTCACCACCATGGCAAATCTTATTGATATAAATAAAACCCATTCCGTTCAAACACGGAGATTATAAAGATCAAAATCGTACATGAACACTTCTACTAAAATACGTACTCACGTACAAAATCGAAAAAGCAGTCCCAAGTCCGATGTCACAATCAGGACCGGGTACATGGGAATTGAGACGTGGGAACATGAGAGGGGACGTGAGACGTGGGACTTGGGTTGATGTACCCAAGTCCTGGGAAGACCAAGTCCAAAGGGGCCCCGAGTCTCCTGCAGTCCCCGCCAGTTGAGAGGGGTTGAAGATTAGGGCACGTCGAACACCGCGGCACAAAGTCCTCGATCACCGAGTGCCGCTAATGCGCCCCATCCGAAGGCACAATCCCGCGGCGCGATGCCACAATTAGGAAGAAAGAATTGGGTTCGAAGGTGAAATCGCAAAAGTAAAGGGTACACAGAACGTGGGGAGAACAGAGGACTCGCAGCGTAACGTGGTGGGAAAAGGCCTTGACTCCAAGCCTTTCACTAAACTTGCCGCTGATCACCGCTAATCTGACCCCCGCGTGCCGCTCTCAGCCGTTTCCGAAGCCTGGGCGTAAGTGAACGATTGGATTTCACTGTACTTAATTTGAGAAGCACCCCACTGATCTGGTTCAGTGCGTGGAACTGATCGCATCGCCAAGTAGACAGAAAATCGTCCCCCGATTGCACGCCGATGGAGAGGCGCCGTTTCCCCGGTGGGGAAGATCTGGATCATGCACTTCAACGCTTTTCTTAGATTGGGTTCAGTCGCATCATCAGGTGGGGGTTGTCTATCGAAACCAGAGTAACCAACCGGTGTCAGCAAACGAGCCGAAGTTAGATCTATTGCAAGCGAGGGAATGAAAGAGGCTTTATTGGCTTTGAGGAATTCGGGTACTGCAGGAGAGATGTGCTAGAACGAGTTGTGAAAGATGCAGGACTCGCGCCGATTATGGCGCAGTTTTTAGCGGTATGAGTGATGTAATCTCTCTGTGGAAGGTTCGTATAGAGATCTGTGGCTAGTGTTGCGATCGGGTGGGTAGAGTTTTGAAGCCGAATGGGGTGCTAATCCGTGATCTTACAGGGGCATGGGTACTGAGCGTTGGAGTTGGTTCTGAGGAGCTGTGTCAAAAATGTGGAGGTTTTTGGTCGGCTTTGTGGTGCTGGATGGAGCCTGTTGCAGCAGATTGGCAGCACGAGTCTAGGTTGCCTTGAAACTGGCGAAGTTTCGGGTGGTGTTGAATAATGTTCAACCAAGTTAGTGCCAAGCCTTGATGCACGCAACAAATTCCGAAAATTGGTCGTTAGTTACAGTTTTTGGATTTGATTGCATTGGTAGTGCCCTTGCCCAGGAACGTTGAACATGTTGTGGTGATTCACGGTAAATTGTGAATTGGACACAATGCAGGGGTTTTGCTTACCGGGACCGCGGAATAGAATCTAAGCTGCATAGATGGATTCTCAGAATGTCCTCGCGGACCAAGTGAAGGGAAATAGGAATCAACTGCAAGGCAGTGGGGAGATTATCTTAACAGCTTCGTCCGAGGTTAGAATTCTCCTGCATTGCTGTGCTCGTAACCTGAATCTCAAATTTGAAGCAGCTAGGTAGGCTTAACTACTCCCATGTTGTGCGGAGGCGACATACTAATAGAGCGGACCTCTTGTTTACCTAACAAATTTTAATAAATTGTGTGGCTCGCGATTACAGTAGAGCTCCCTCATATTTGGAGGGCTGTGAATTCTTGCTTAGATTAGGGTTTTCACATACTTAATCGGAAAAGCCCTAACTTGAGGTTTGGCTGAATTCGCATTTAGGGGATGCGCTTTCCTCCTCAGATTGTAATGATGTGGTGCTTCACATGGTCTTGTTCTGTAGAGATGTGTTTCTACAATTCATGACTGGGAGCATGCTTATGCAGATCGCAGTCAGTTCAGTCACTTCACCAAGTGTCCCAGCTCCAAGTTGCCCTGAGGTCGTCAATAAGCCCACTGCATGTTCAAGCCATCTCCCGCCTCTCTCTGCTACTAAATCTGGAAAGAATTCGACTGCCCACGGGCAAGTGCCTCGCCCGCATTTACGATCAAGAGTTTCTCTCGAGAAGAACAAGTTCAACATCATTTTGACAGGGACACCAGTTTTGCAGCCTACATCTGAAATTCCTCCGACACCTTACTCGGACAAGAGGGCGTCATCACTGCCCGTGCCGCGCGCAAACGCACATTCTTCTGGTAGCAACTCAGAATCCGTCAAAGGACACAGCCATGAATTAGCAATCAACGTGGTGAGTTCTTAGCTTCGACCCTCTGCTTATCCCAGATCCGATTCTAATTTTCGAACCATCACAATTTTTAATGCTGTATTGTCCGATGCCCTTGGTACTAGTTCGTGCTTTGAACTGCACCATCTGAATCTGGTATCCGCTATTGCAACTCGTGTTACAGCTAGGGCACGAGAAAGTAAATCCTATCATACGGTCATTCTCCACACCCGTGATCGGAGATAAGGTCGACAGTGCTTGCAGAGATGGCAAAGGTTATATGCTGGTTAGATCCGCCAGCCCACAACCATCGTCAGTGCAGCAATCTAGGGAAAACGAATCGGGTGATGCCGTTCACCCTCACGTATCATCAGAGTTTGATGTTGAAAAAGGTGAAGACATTTTTTTTCAAAAACATTTGTTTATTTATTTGTTTGTTTGTCTAAACGTAATCTAGCTTTTCATAGTCTGCTCCAACGTTGAGCTCTAGTGTAGGTTGAAGGTATTCTGATTGAATGGATGTGTTGTAAACTACAGGCAAAGGATCCATCAAGGATGAATTAGAAGAAGCAATTCCTGTGGAAGAAGCAGTGTGCAGAATCTGTATGGATTCTCTTACAGAGGATTGTGGGGAGACTTTAAAAATGGAATGTCGCTGTCTGGGTGAGATGGCTCTGGCGCACAAGGAATGTGCGTTCAAGTGGTTTGGTATCAAGGGAGATCGAGTATGTGACGTGTGTGGCACTGTTGTGCAAAATATTCCAGTGACAATGGTCCGAGTCCCTGCCAACGAGCAAACGGTCAACCAATCAAGATCCGTGGACACACACACTGTGAACAGGTGTCCTACCACCTCTTGTTGTTCCTTCTTAATGATGATACAAGCTTTTTCATTGTACAGTCCTTGAATTACAAGTGTTGTTTGATCTTGTTCAGGTCGTTCAAGGAATCGTGCAGTTCGTTAAGACATTATGTTTCATGAACTATCTTCAAGAATTTGTTGTAGTATTCAATGCAATCAGCAACAGGAACAAATATTACATACGTACAGCAAGTTTCTGACCGCATTATTGCGATTGAGTGTATTATCTTACCCTTAAAGTGACTACCTAACTAAATCGATTTTGGTGAAATCTTATGCAGAACTTCTATTTGGCAGGATATTCCTGTTTTAGCTATAATCAACATGATGGCGTATTTCTGCTTCATTGAGCAATTGTTGGTAATTATTTTCACATTTTTCTGGTATTTACTTTGATATTATGCTGGTGCATTTTCGTATACTTGATGAGAGGATTATCTGAATGTGAGCAAGTATTACTCTGATATCGACTAAAAATCTATTCCTGCTCATTGCTTAGTGGTTCCGTATCAGAGGGTTACTTGTGAAAACCTAAGATATGTCCGGAAGAGGTTGTGCCTGGGCTGCACTTACCAAAGATGCGATAATTGTATGCCCTACCATAGGTAGGTGCTGTACGTTCTTTCGTTTAACTTCCTCATGGTTTCCCTTGCAGGTCAGTAAATTGGGTACTAAGGCCCTGGCCATATCTATTCCCTTTTCTATCATCATCGGCCTTCTTGCTTCGGTTACAACTATTGCTCTCGGTGAGCTTCATTGTTGTTGTTAGTATTAGTATTGAAGTTTCCTTTTTTTTTTTTCTTTTTTTTTTTTGCCACGCTCGCATTCCTCATTGACAAGTGTGTAGTCAATTTCTTTATTTCAGAAGAATTTCGAAGCTGGTGCCGGATTTGATGAGGCTGGTTGATATAAAACATACTAGGCTGGTCAATTGGTTTTTACAGCTGGTTATGTATTCGTAGTTAAAACACCACTATACTATCGTTAATTTCGAGACAATCACTGTTTCGAGGCTTTCCGACTACAGAATACAAACTGGTCAATCTGGATGTGATCCTTTCATTACGTATTAATCGTAAGGTGGTCATGGTGGTCTGCAGTTACTAAACGATACGTTTGGATGTACGCCACTATTCAATTTGCCCTCGTCTGTATATTTGGATACGTGTTCTTCTTTAAGGTGGGCTGTGTACGTCTTAAAACTCATTTCTGCTTCGTCTCAAATATGCATCTCATTATTGAAATGCAATTTTCTGTAGGCCATATGCATGATCGAACTTATTACTTTGCACTTCGAGTAAAGGTCTCGTTTTCAAAAAAGTATGCATCATAACCCTTATTCTTGCAACAATCTGCTCATTTCTCTGTCGCGCTCAACCCTGGAGTGCAGACTAAGCTGGAAACCGTGTTAGCCGTTCTCCTTGCAGCCTTTTCGGGCTTTGGCGTAGCCATGACCAGCAATGCTCTCATTTTAGAATATGTTCACTGGAAGACTTACACATCCAGAAGAACCCAACAGGCCGCAAGCGTTGTGGACGTGGAAGTTTCATTTCGACAAGAAAATATAAGTGGTGAACTCGCACCCGCTAATTCACAGTGGTCCCGAGAGCTGAACACCTCGCAGGTCTCCAGTGTTTTAGACATCGGAAGTGATTCCGCAACTGCAAGGAGTCCCAGCTCCAGGAGTCAGGCTCCTTCAGAGACCCACTCTATGCACTGTTCGTGAGAGCAGTACAACCACAACATTCAGAGAGGTTTGAGTTTTACTTTTCTCGCCGTCAAATGATGTTGAAAATGGCTGTTCAGTTGATTGAAAGCCTTGATGGAGGCAGCTGCTTGACGCAGGAGCTTGACGCAGGAGCTTGATCTTAAGGTTTGATCCGCTCTTCTGGACCCATTGAGATCCCAGTTGTAGCTGCAAGTTCGATCCCATTTTTTTTGGTGCACTTCTCAGCCTTGAGTATTTTCTGGAGCTCCTCAACTTTGTATTGTAAGGCATAGAACATGGCTAGATATTTGGAGTGTGTCTCTCCACATGTAGACACCGTTATTCTAGCGTATGACATGATGCGACTTTTATTCACGTAGTTATTGGACTCAACATTGAACACTAAAACTAGTTACTGCTGCGATATATTGTGGAAGTGATAAGCATCATTATGTGCCTGCGAGGTACACATATTTGGGAAGAACTCGATGTTTTCTGGAAGCAGAATATGCTGCTCTGAATCTAACATGTGGACCCGAGTCGCTTCCTGTGAAAGTTTCACCGCCTTAAGGACTTTTGTGTGAGTACATTGTTTGGTGAATGAAGTTCCTAAATACTTTGTTGTCTAAGCTGTGTTGGGTAGTAGCTGAAAATATTGTGGTATGCTGGGTTTGTTAGGTGTTTATGTGGATCACATAAGGTGTTACAAAATTCTATCAGAATGGAACATGTTTATAGCATGGTTAGCCTGAACAAGTTGTGCTCAGCCGAGTGGATCTGTGAAATTTGCTCAGGGACTAGACGCACTGCTGCTGACTGAACTTGAGGCTGCTCCTTGTAAATCTATGAAAATTTGTGTTACACTTAAAATACAATTTGTGGTTTTCATCAATGCACATGTTCTGTATTTGTGTGTAAATTTTTTATGCGAACAATCAGTGATTCTTACTGTGAGGAATCGTGGTTAAAAAGTATATTCACTTCATTGTTCAGTTGCAAGCTTGGGCTTTTCCTTTGGGTTTTTTAATTAGGATAAGAATGTGTAAATAAAAAATACCTTGAAAGCTTTGTCGTTGTCAAAATCGAACAATCATTTGTTAGTCTAAGTCTTTACTTTCTTTTCTGAATTTTCTTCAGAAGCAGGAAAGAGACATCATTTGTAGACTTCTTGTACATAGGCATTGTTCATCAATGTTTTCTTTTTTACTTTTAGCTATAAAATTTATCTGTATAAATTTGGAATTATAATTCATATACAAGAAATAAAATGCTTAGTCTTTTTATTGTGAATTCATTTCTGAAATGAAGTTTATTCACGGTGATATGATAAGTTTAGAGATAAAAATTTTCCCTTTTATATATTTAATATATTGATGAAAAATATAATAGAATTATTGTTCTTATAAAAAAAAAATCACATCAACTAATAATTTTACAGATATGTTCTTCAAACTTTTCATATGTTTTTCTAACAAACAACAAATTTTAAATTTAACAATACATTCCAGTGAAATGTCCTTTGCAATATTAAATTAATATTCACTAATTCATTTGTTTATCCATATTTTAAAACAATACTTGATTAAATTAAGGCCAATTGTAACTTGTTGATTTGAATGTTACGTTACTCTTTTGCACTTTCTTCTTTTTTAGAACTAGATGTCACATCAATCATTGTCTTTTTTCTTTTTTCTTTTTTTTGTACAATGGTGTTATTCTTTGTTACTTTGTCACTTTATTTATTTATTTATTTGTTGTAAGGTCCAACTGTTATAAATAAATGAGAATAATTTAATTTAATTTAATATACTTTTGCTATTATAGTCTTTTTTAGAAACATAGATTCTTTAAATTTTTCTAACTCTATCTTAAAAATCCAATTGTAAAACTTATAATTATAAAACTTTACTATCATGTATTTATTTCCAAGTTAGAGTTTGTTGAAAATTGTAATAAAAAAATACAAAGAAAAAATAAGAAAAATTAAATTTAGAGTTTCAAAATTCAACAACATATAGTATTATAAAACTCTAAATTTATTTTTACTTATTTTAACAACATTGGGATGTGGCTTTATTTGAAACTTTAGTAAATGTTTAAATGGTTAAAAGATTCTTTTTTTTTTATATATGTACATATTTTTAAAATTAAAAATCACAAAACTATATTTCTAAATAACTAACTAATCATTAAAATAAATTAGTTGTAATTGGAATTTATAAATATCCAAAAATTTAATGTAATATTTATTATAATTTTTAAAAAATGACATTTTAGCATAATTATTTAATTTCAAAAAATATTATGATGATTTATAATTTTATTTATTATTTTAAAAATGTAGTAGTTATTCTTTTGGAAATTGAAAGTTCAAATATATGGAGACTAAGAAAGATCATCCTAGACATTTATTTGTTCATAAGGATATACAATTCATATTAATTTCATTTATGATATAATTAAAAATAATATATATATATATATATATATATATATATTTAAAGTGATATAAGCTAAGATAATTTTTAGATTTATTTTATTTATTTTTTATATCAAGACCAATCGAACCTGCAAGATAATTTATTTTTATTTATTTTTATTTTTATCAAGACCAATAGAAATGAGAGATTGGAGAACAGGGATGGAGGACTAGAAATAAGTGACAGAGATGGAGAATAGACAGAATCAATGATGAGATAGTAAGGGAGGATGTGGCTTTAACAACATTATTTTGTGGCTTTATCAGCTTTATATATATATATATATATATATATTTGATACAATAGAATTTAATTCACACAGATAACTCATAGGTAAAAAGATTAAATTCACCCGCCGTATAATTAAAAGAATCAAGTTATAAAAGAAAATATTTTCTTAACTAAATAATTAAGATATAGCAATAAATACATAAAATTATATTTAATTAGAAATTATTAAAAATAAAAAAATAAAAAAATAAAAAATAAATAAAAAATTAAATTAAAATTAAAATTAAAAATTAATTAAAATTATTAAAATTAATATTTTTCTTTATATTTAATGATTATTTTGGAATTTATTATGAAAAACTTCATATTTTTATATTGTATTATTTTTTAAAACTTATAACATTATAAAATAAAAATTACATTTTTTTTTTAATTTTTAGGTTTTCTTAATGCAAAATCTTACAACAAAATCTAAATATTAAAAATTATAATTCATTGTCTTTATTTTCTAATTTTATCAAATTCAAGAACCAAATAAACTTTTTGAGTCTACTTTCCATCTTTTGTGTATTCTTTTTGTTTGTCTTTTGTATAAAATCATTTAAAAATATTCTTTTGATATTCTTGGTTTGTTTTAATTATTATTTTCACTTAAAATATAAATAATAAAAATTAGTTAAATAAATTATACATATTTGTAAATTAACTTATCCATATTTGGATATGTATACATATATATATATATATATATATATATATATATATATATATATATTGTAGCAAAATAATAAATTTAAAGATCCAAATATCAAATATAATTAGAATTATTTGTGTCTTCACATTGATTCATTTAAAAACTTTTTAAGCCCTTGGATTCACAAAAATATAAATGATTATTTTAAAATTATTTCTTAAATTGTTTTATTATCTTCTTTCATTTTCAACAATTCTAGGTTTATAAGGCTTAGCTCTTTGTAAGTATAATTCTAAAATTGATCTAAATTTATCAAAACTATTAATATATCTTGTATTAAAAAAAAAATTAAAAATAGAAATAATAGTATAATTAGTTTTGAATTTTGAGTTTAAAAAATCCATAGATTATCTATAAATTCTACATTATATTTATCTTATTAAAAGAAGTATTTTTATTAGAATGAGAGTGTTATATAATGACAACATTTAAGTTCAAGTCACATACCTCATTAGAATGAGAGCATTATGTAATGATAAAAAAAGTGCCAAACTTTGGAACCATTGCATTGAAAACACAATTATATAAGATTCAATTTTTTTTTCTTGAGACAATATCTAAATATAATTTCTAAAAAGCAAGCCTTCTACCAAGGTTGCATGCATGTATATATTAGTATTTTCTTGATTGGATATTGAAAAATCTAATTAAATTAATATTAATTAAGAAGTGATTATTGATTTTTTGGTGATTGACTTTTACAATTTATCTTCTTGGCAAATAGATTGTTATCAATCACAAAAGAAGCTCGTATGATTCTGTAGCTCATAGAAGCTTTTAGACTCTAGTTCCCATGTTGTTAATATTCCAATAAGTAATTATGCCTTGCTGCAATTGTTGCGATGACATCTGATTTATGGAAGGCTCAACTTGTATAAAAAATATTTTTTCCAAATCTTTGCATCATGAAAATTGAACCCTTAATTCACCTAAAATAAGAATAAGGTTATATCTTATCAAGTTCAAGGATAGATTTGCAATTATCACAAAAGTGAGGGATATATTTGCTATCATAAAGAGTACAAGGGTATTCTTGATATTTCAATAGATTTTAGATATATATATATATATATATATACGATATTTTATTTTATTTTATTATAAACTATATAGATATAAGATTAAAAAAATATTGAAAAAGAACATTTAAAACAATACATTAAAAATATAAACAAAAACATCATATCAATGAAAACTGTATTGATGAATTCTTTAACATTGCAATTTTAAACTAATTTTATACTATTGACTAATATTTTTTTTAATATTGTATCAAAATAAATTTAAAATATAATAATAATAATAATAATTTATATAATTACATAAATATAGGCCATTATACATATGATTATAATTACATAAAGACTTCTTTTATATTTTTAAATATCAAAGACATACGTTTTTTTTAAAAAAAAGAAAAAAGAGAAGAAAGAAATGAAAAAACTAGTCTTATATAAGAAACTTAAAGATTTATTTACAAATTTTTTTAAAATGATTATTTGCAATTGTTCATAGAATTTTTTGTATTTGTATCATTCAACCAAAGCAATATATAATGGGTCAAGGAAAATCCCACCTACATGCTGGTGCTATGCTTATTATCATACGGATGGACGACAATAATAGCATGCATTTCATATTATTATGATTATTATTATTATTATTCTTACCTTCGGTGGAAAACAATGATAGCATGGATTTGTATTATTATTATCTTAGGTGGAAGACAATAGTGGCATGGATTAATATTATACAAGCAGCAGAGCGGAGTGACTCAATACAAGTCATTTTTATTTTTAATGTTTGTTTTAGTTTGTTTGTTTTGTGGTTGTCGAGACCTTACACATTTCTAATGCATTGAGTATTTTGACACTCCAAATGTGTGCAATGTAATAATAAAACCTAGACCTTGGATCACGTGCATCCTCAGTACGCAGCGATGACGTCGGGGTTTGTACTGAAGAACCTGGGATACTAGTCAACAAGGCCTCGTGAAAGAGGCGACAAGGAGCAGAAGAAGATTATTGTCACATGGTTTGGGTTTCCAAGTATTATTCTGTGTGTGTGTGTTGGCCGTTAACAAAGTCGATGGAATGGAATCTGCG